ATGACGGCGGCGATGATCACGGCGGGCGCAACGTCAAGATCTAGGTCGTCTGCGCGCACGACGGGCGCCCCGACCGAGACAGACGCGACGGCCTTTGGCGCCGCGACGGGCCAGGTGCAGCGGGCGCTCACCAAGTCCAAGACGGCCGTGCTCCCGGACGTCGACTTGTCCGCGAACACGTTGTGGCTGCTCCCCTGCGCGAGCGCGCCGGCCGATGCAGCAAGCGCGGTTGAGGGCTCGGCGGCTCCGGCGACGGCCGCGGCCGACAAGGACGAGGCGATCGTGCGCGCCGACGCAGCGGACGACAAGAAGGACGAGTTGGTTGTCGCGCGCGCAAAGTACGACGCGCTGCAGGCCCAGCACGACGCGCTGCGGGCCCAGCACACTCAACTGGAGCAAGCGACCAACGAGTCCCAGCAGCTACATTCGAGCCAAGTCGCCGAGCTGGACGCGCGCTGCAAGGCCGCAGAGCTCGCGCGCACTCGACGGAGATCGAGTTCATCAAGGCGGCTCCGCGAAGCAAGGCGACCCAGCCGACGCCACCAACGGTATGCATATTCTCCTTTTGTATGCATTTTCATATTGTATTTTAGGGCGCCAACCCTTTAGCTACATCGCCAGCCCGGCCCGCGTGCCCGGCTCTAGATGTAGTCCCCATAACATTCAATCAATCCAACATATTTCGCATTGAAATCAAATTAGTTCAATCAAACTCAAAGACTTTGCTGCCAGTACACCTGAATGCGTGCAAGAACCAGTGCGGGATCGTTGGGAGTGAGCTCAGCGATCCATCCCGCGATGAACCCGACTCGCCGAGCAATTGTAGCTCGCACGACGTCGTACACAGGCCCCAGTACTCGCACCTACGACACGTCGTGTCTTCACTTTCATTCATTTCGCCGAGGTCGAAGGACCGATTGCAATGTGAGGCAGACCATGCGCGCGTGAGGCAGACCATGCGGCAGACCATGCGCGCGTGGTCGGTGACCTCAACCGGATGCCATGCCGGCGTCTCTTCACGCTGGCGTGTCCTTCTCGGCTGTCATGCGGCGTGTATCTTGGTGCTGCACAATGGCGCCACGGTCGCCCGGGCGAGCCCCGCGTCCACAAAGCCCGTTCCTGATGATCGCCTTTCCCGGCCGCACCACCCAAGTTGCGTGCGCGAAGACGCGGGTGGCCCCGCGATTGGTCGACCGCTGCGGATCCGAACGCGTCCGATTGGACAGATCCACACAGAGCCCCACATACGACATATGGCGGGAAGACCAAGCCAGCAGCCAACCGAGAGGCCATCCCACCTGCTTGCAGCCAGCTTCCTTTTGTGCTTTCAAAGGCAACGTCGAGTCGAGCGACCCAGCTACATCCTTTGACGAGGAGCAAGGCCAAGACTCTGATGTCACTGAAGAAGCACACGACGCCGCGAGCGTCCTTGGTCCCGACAACAAGCTGCGTGTACATACGATCGAGGTCGACACCGCCTCGCCTCGACACGACTACGCGCGCAAGTGCAGCGCGTACCAGGTCCTTTTCTCGAGTCCTCAAGGTGGCTACGGCGACATGACCTGCAACCAGTCGCCGAACCCCGAGAGCTTTCGCCTGGACAAGTGTACTAACGAGGCAAGGTACCCTGGTCTCGACGCGCTTCTCGCCGACTACATGTGCTAGTTTGACGCTGCAGTGCGCCGCGACAAGCTCTTCCATTGCACGACCTGGACGGACGAGCACAAGTACCATGCGCCCACGATGTGTCTCGGCCACGTTGATGATCGCCGACGCAACGATTCCGCCATGCTCGACGAGCTCGTGCAGCGCCTTGTCACTGCTCCTGGGTCAGGTTGCTTTACGACTCTCGTGTGCAGCGGTCAAACTAACATCGGTTTTCAGCAGCACGCCAGCAGTCAGTGCCGCAACGACCGCCGCCAGGACGAAGAGCGCGGGCACGACGAACGCCAGGTGCCCGATGCGACGCCCAAGAGGATCGGAAACAAGCACGTCGTTGGTGTCGGCCTAGGTCTGTCGCCGTACCACGCCCGCGACATGCATAAATACTCCGTGCCCGAGCGGCGGTTCGCAGTCGATACGCATCGCGGACCTACCGGTATAAGATATGCAATACGACATGGATGTACACTGACATGTAAGGCGCACGGTACCGCGACTGCCATGTGCCCGACGTGGATGTGAACGTTGTTGCAGCGACCCGACGGCAGCTTCCTCCATGTGACAGAGCCTACCAGGACGTGAACCTATACGTGGCGATGTTTGTGGCTATGACGTCGACTCGATGGCGAGCGGCTTACCGCTCGCATCACGCATGCAACTGCAGCAAGATTGATTGGAATGCACCGCATAATCATGGAATTCAGTAGTATAACAATATACACACATCCACTGAGTACAGGATATGATGGACTCGTCGTTGACTGCTTCGCTTTTGTACCGCCGCCCATGCGCGTCCCCAGCGACCTGCATGAGACCAGCTGTTTGTGACAGGTCAGTTTATCACGTCATCCGATGATGTGACGAGAAACCATACGCATCTCATCGTCGTGCGATCGATCGACTGAGCCTGCGTCGATGCGCCAATGTCACTTTGGATGCAAAGCTCAAAGTGCAAGAGTCTTGCCCTTTGACACCGACATCTATTGCAGTCACCCCATCCCGTGGATTCGCTGCCTCGTTCCCCCCAGTGGTCTTTCGAATGTACTAGTAAGCTGTTAACTTCTCGAAGCTCCTCGCCGACCAGCTTCAAGTATCCCAGCGATATGATATTCGCGATGACGCGCCTCTTGGTGGGCGTATTGGGTTGCTCCACATGGGACGCTAGAGCTAAGAATGTACATGGTTTTCGCGTTTGCGATGGTTGAAGCGGGAAGGACGGGAGTACGATAGCAGTCGAGGTGCCCGCATGTGTACAGCCAAGGCAAGCGAGGGCGGTACTTTGTAGCGTTCTCTGCTTCGTAACCCTACCCGCACTGATAGCTTCAAGCCGCGTCCAGCCAAACGTGCATGGTGCCAGTCAAAGGTGCGATTGCGAGCTGTCTTAGCTGAGAAAAAACGGGCCGCCGCTCTACATGTTGCACAGAGTGTAGTCCAGCTGCGAACTCGCGGCTTTCAGCCTTCCACGTTACTGGCATCTCACGTGGTCCAAGCCCGGTATGAAGTTGTGAGCTGCAGCAATCCAAGGACCCCCAAGGATCGTGTTGCATCGCATTTGAATTGGATCGAGATGTACGGGGCGCCGAGCGTACACATCCATGCTATATCTCCCACCCAGGCTCGCCACGTGGAAGATCACCATGGCCATCATCTACAAAGGCATGCCGTTGCATTCAAGGACTCTTCAGTTCATGTCGCGATGGAAGCAAGGACTTTCTCTCCAAACAATGGTGTCAGCCACAAGTATCTTTTGCCGAACGTTCTATATTGATTGTGGACACTCGGTTGCGAGCCGCTAGCTTTGTGTTGCTGGCTGTGCGTGGCCAAACGACGACTGCCAAGTCCTTGGACGATTGCCGTCAAGGCGCTCCACTGCACCTGCACCATTATAGCCTCGTGCAAGCCCACATGATGTGTTGTTGTCAAACTCGTGTACCGTGACCAAAATTCTGGACGCACGTTGAAGCTGTGTTGCGACGCGCGATCGCCAGGCTCCAAAAGCCAACACCCACAAGGCTTTGGTCAGCCATTCCTTCAATAATCCGTGCGCAGAGAGATGTGGCGCGATTGCGATGGGCAGAAGCTTCTCTCGGTCCTTCATGACGTACCCCACACTGGTCGCACCAAACAATACGGTGGGAATACCACCACCGACTGCACCCACCCGATTCCAAGGAGTCTTTGCAACCACCCCACATACTCGGGCATGCAGTCGCTGCGGTACAGGTTTGTGCTTTTGCTTCACTGAGCATGGCGCAGGCCGCCAGCACCTGTGCGGTTATGCTCTACGCATTTCGAACGGATGTAACGTGGCCGGGTCCAATGTGAACGACGTTTGCGACCTGCAGATCGTTTCGTGGTGTATTTGGGCGAGATGAACGCGAGCAGCACATGAGGCTGTCGATAGAGGCTGTTGCTTTGCATGAGTATCTCGACAAACTGATCCATCTCGCAGGACCAAAGATTACTCATCATCAACAAATATACCAGCCAGCGGTCTCTTTTTCAATTCCCTCGTCCACGTCTGGGCTACGTCGATGGAGAGTGAGACCACTGCATGTGACGGTCACCATGTCACGTCATCCGACGACGTGACCATGAACCATAACTGTATCAGACCATGGATTGATCGATCGACCGCGCCTGCGTCGATTCCACGTCAGATTGGAACCCAAAGAAATAGCGTCGTGCTCCTAGACGCCAATCGCAACTGCTGTCATCACAACCCGCAGGTCACTCACTGCACGCGATCGTTGTTTTCCGACACGAATGATGGCGCACAAACTGCATTTAGCGTTGCTAGCGAGCGTTGCGAGGACGGTCTTCTGGTTTTCGAGAAACACACGCCACCGTGCATGTTGGCCGTCAAACGTGCATGGAATCGGTTGGTACATGTAGCTCTCTTTCGGCTGAGAAAGAACGGACCGTCGCCGCCGCTCACTATATCACGCAAATTATAGTCCGGCTGCGGGGGTCGCGGCTTCCAACCATCCAAGCTACTTGCACGCGTGAGCAATGCGAGTCCCAGCTACTTCAAGGTCGGTGCCCAAGCCTCTGTGTGAAACGTGGAGCGACAGGGCACGAGAGTGCGTCAATGGTTCTCGATACCAAGACATGGCAGCGATGAGCGCCGCCGAGTTGGCAACCAGTGCGTCACTACGGGTAGACGTAGGAGGAGGGTGAGCGCGGAAGTGCCAAGCAGATCGCTCCGGTCGTGTACTTACAGCACTGTTGACGCATCACCAAGCAAGAAGATACTCGCCAATGGCGTGAGTGCAGGCGAACTTGAACCACCGCGTGTATCGCACGCTCGTAGGCTTGACACCGCTCAGTGTTGAACAGCTCATGGCGCTCAAGTTCGTGCGCCACAAGCTCAATACCGAACTTGAAGCTCACCCTGCCCATGGATTGATGATGGCGAATGCATCTGAGCCGAAGGCGACCGGGTGTCCCGAAGGAGCTGCCGCCAGGTAGGGCTTATGGAACCACGACTCGCTAAGTCATTGGCGGTGCGCACGGCCGCATAGCCTTTCAAGCCAGGTGACCGAGGTGTTGCTAGCTAGCTACGCAGTACTAGTACAAATGACTTTGATTGCTCGACCATGGCGATGCCGTTGGCTCCAGCCTGCCATGCAAGTCGACGACCGCTATTGTAGCAATGTAAACGATCATTCTGTGTGGAAAACGCAAGAGCGCTATAGCACTCTACTAGTATGCCACAGACATTGTGCGCGGGAGGCCGCAGCAGTACGAGTGGCGTCGTGGGCTCGCCCTCGCCGCCGGTGGCCAGGCAGGTTGCCCCTGCTGTGAGCACTCGAGAACGTGTAGAGGCCGCGGCTTGCCTGGCTACGCCAGCAGGAGCTTCACGGGCAGCCGCAGCAGTCGGGTTGGGTCGGCGCGTTGCCCTGCTTCCTGAGCGCTTCCGTCCCGCCTGATGTTTTTCGATATAAGCCTCAAGAGGGTACCTCTACTGACCTATACTAGTGGATACGGTCATCTTGGGCCTCCGTGGATTCGCTTTGCATGACGTGGGCGGCCACCGGCGCTCCATCGCTCGGACCATAGCCGCGTCGCCTTCGTTACGAGGTTCTTATCGACGTTGGATGTCAAGTGCACCTTGCTGTCGGCTCTGTACGTGGGAAAGGCTATGCACATGCAACACAAAAGGCGTTAAATCAAAAACGTGTATTAAACCCACGTTTATTATTCCCAATTTCGCCTCGGTATGTTTACAGACGTGGCGGCGTACGTCAAGCGCAAGGGCGGCCATGTGAAGCTTCTCACCGACGAGGAGCCATGGTGGAGGCTGAAGCTGGTCTCGACGAGCGGCCGCCGTCGACGGCCCATGGCCTTCATGGGCTCATCGCAATGGGCTCATCGTAGCCTTGGCATGCGACAAGGACGTTGCCCTCTAAGAGACTTGCCTGCTGCCAGCAGGCAATGGATCTTCAACGATTCGGATCGATAGACTTGGTCTAAGTATACTATAGAGAAAGGAGGTGGTTCTATTAAGCTCGCCCGACAGAGCTCATTCCAAATTTGGCAGCCTGGTTTCCACGAGCCTTGTACGCGCCGCAACGCTATCTTGCTTTGTCTTGCCTGACGCCTCTGCAAGTGCCTTTTACAAGTCTCTAACCCTGGCGATGAACAGCAGCGACTTGCGCGACGGGACGCATGACACTTGGGCGGCTCTGCACCGAGCCAACCTCCTCGCAGCCAAGACGGCGCGCGTCGCA